TGTTTATCATTTCAGGTAAGTTTTAAACTCTTAAACCCAGCGAACTTATTTTGCTAATCTCTTTTAGGTCTTAATCTTGGTGCTAAGCAAGCTCGTAACACCAGGGGTGTTACACCATGATACTCCACAGGACATGTCCCAAGAGCCCGTAGGTGTCTAGAGTGTTGGTCAGTCCTTCAAGAGATCCACTAGGGAATATTCTATCAACAGAGTAAGAAGAGTGCTTCCATTGATGACTGCCTTAATGACCTGACTGACATCATTAAAGACCATAAGAAGCAAAAGGCCCTTATGAGCATGTAGGAAGAGCATATGGACAAAGTGGTCAAGATTTTGAAAGAAGATGGTTTGCGCGAGTCTGATGCTGTATATGCCCAAGCTTTAATTATTTGCATGAACACACTGGATCGTAGGAACTTCCTGACCATGGAAACAAAAGAGGGCCGGCTGAATTTTCTGTAGATCTGCTGAGAGGACAGGAGATCCAGATCGAAGTAGATGTTATCCCAAGCAGCGTTCCTACTGCGGCAGTCTATGTAGTTTTATTTTCAAAAACGTGCATGTTGAGTTCTTTGGTTTGGCCTATGTTCGTTTGGTTTGCATTATTCATTGTAATGTTTTTTGGACAATACTTGTTTAAGTTACATTGTTGTAATGTGGCATGTAGCCTGAACATTGTGTGCTGCTTTTTTTCCCGAATCCAAATAAACTGCGTGCTACGATGTACATATCTTTGTTGAAGATACATTTCATTTTTCATGTCGATTGTTTAGTACTGCCTCCTCATTGTGTGGTCTAAATTTCTCTTTCTCCAGGTGTCCATGAGGTGGTGCCGCTAGGAGGGCCAGAACGAGCTAGCTGTTCCAGTCATCAACGAGTTCCGAGGTTTGAATCCTCGCCTATATCTGTGTTCAACAACTCAGTATCTGCTACTTGATTCCTAAATTACTGTTAATTGGTGTTCTAGATTCACCTACAAGTCCAACCAGAGTATCACTATTAACTGGTGTTGTAGGTTCGGCTCCAATTGTAGGTTCGGCCTTTTTCTCTTACTTTGGGTTTTTGTAACAGGAAGTCTTGCACAGTGAACATAGATATAATAATGTTTCTTCAAATTTCATAGCTGTGGATTATTACCTGTGACTTCAATTTACATATTATGGTCTTTGTCTTTGCAAACTTGTTTCAGAACTCAACTTGATAGGATAGAGTTATCATTGTAGGTCCTAACTCTAGAACTTGTACTGCAGAACCTTGATTGGGACCCAAACAAGATAATACCCTAGTATTGTATTATTGAGAACTGCAGAACCTTGATTGGGACCCAACCAATTTGAAGGTTCGTATTTGATAACTCATTAACTCATTTGCTCAGAAAGTAGCAGTATGAAATTAGGACGAATTTATTAACTCATTTCATAACTCATTAACTCATTTGTTCATTAACTCAGTTGTACATATAAGGCATCCTATGTTACGGTAGTTGTTAATGATTAAGAAATGGTATTTGGTAAACTAGACCACTATCTATTTCTGGTATCTGACCCATTTGTTCTTGTAGATGAGCAGCACTGAGGAGTCCAACAACAGCGACAATTCCAGCGAAGAAACCTCCGTGTTCAACTTGGTGGCTGTTGTTGTCGCGCTTGCAAGGTACAGAGCAGCAGTCGCCAAGACGGCTCCAATGGTCAACCTTGCAAGATATGCACCATTCTTCGATGGGTGCATCGGGGCTTTGGATGGCACTCACGTTAAAGTTACGGTGAATAAGCAGGTCCAGAACTGACTGTATAAATAGGAAAGGAGATGCAACAATTAATGTTTGTGCCATTATCGACATGGATGGGCGCCTCACATTTGTCGGTGCCGGGATGGCGGAGTTGGTGCATAACATGATGGTCCTAAGAGATTGTTGGGAGGAAGAAACTTCCCGCATCCACCACACAGTTAGTGATTACTGCCATGCAATTAATGGACCAACTTTGTAGTTGCTTGGGCGAAAAAAAAAAAGTAATTGTGCAAATGGTTCGTGTTTTGCGGGACGCTACTATCTGGTGGACGCTGGATACACGCAGAAGTATGGCTACATGGGTCCATTCCGAAATACAAGGTACCATCTGGACGATTTTAGGGGCTTAGACATTGAGACATTATCTCGTTAGGAGAAATTTAACTTGACTCATTCGAGGCTCCGCAATGTCATCGAACATAAATTTGTGGTTCTGAAAGGCCATTGGCAGATTTTGGATGGGGTACCTTACTACGAGAGGGAAAAGCAAAAGATGATTATTATTTCATGCTTTGCAATGGACAATTTTTTGTGGATGTGTGAGCATGCAGTTGGTTTACCTGCGTACCCACTGTCCAGCTGGGTGCATCTCAATGCAAATAATAGTATGACAGCAATGAGGGAGTTCATATCTTTGGCTCTCTTGGGAGAATGATTCAGCAAAGGTGATTTAATTTAGCAAGCAAAGTAGTTCAATTAAAGATAGATGGGTTGTGGTTTCAATTATATGTATGAGACTTGTTGGTGCATGCAGGCGAAGAACGAATGTGAAAGTATATGTGCAGCTGCAGGTTGCATGTGGACGTGTCCAGCCGAAGAGTGCATGACTTGTCTGTGCAGTTTGCTTAGTGGCTTGATAAAGGCTACAAGTTTTGTAAATGTTGCATGTATGCCTAATTGTATAATGTTGGAATGGTCTAATATGTAGGTAGTGCTATGTTGTATTAATTTGTTGTATGGAACGTTGAACCGGATTGTAATTTCTATTTATGCTTAGAACCTATTGAGGCATGGAAGAACTTGTATGTAAACTTGTCCAATATTCGAAATTGAACTAGGTCCATGTTTGTAATGTATGAAACTTTTAGTAGTGTTCATAAGTAACCATTATTGAGCTTGTTTATCAACTGTCGGATTGAAGTGGCAATGACATGCCTTGTTGTTTGGCGCCAGAATTTGAATTGATTTAGTTACAACAGTTTCAAATTTAAATGGCATTTAATGCTGCTTTGTGTACAGCCATGACTGGGCCGGTTGCTTGCTCGGCTGAAGCTGCCTGAAAACACTCAATTTAATCAGAGATGAAATAAAGAAAAAAGTTTAGAGAACAAACTAAAAAAAATATACTCTTTTTTTTATGAAGTTTGTCAGTACATATCCGTAGGATGAAAATTTTAGTCATTTTCTGAGTATTTGAAATGAAATCCGTTTTTATTTTCTTTAAATCTGAATTAATGCAAGTCATAATCGAATTTCTATCTATTTGCATTATAGACAGAAATTCGAATCATTTTCTGATTAAACACTGTTGGCTGATCAGCGGTGGTCAGCCAAAACAATACCAGCCGAACAGCGCGTCTGATAATATACTCTTCCGTACTATAGCCCTCATTGCTACATATCGACCAACTGCGTGGTCCTTCGTTTTCCTTCCATTCCCGTGAGCGTGACACATTCTTGGGCAGCGCACTGATGGTAACATTGATATGGGCCGGGTGCGCGTCCGTGGACCGTGGCAGTTGTCCCGTCGATTCTATTGGTGCGCGCTGGCACTCTGGCGAGCAATCTGCAACCCAAGAACGAGCCCACCAGGCACGGCAAGACAAGAAGAAGAACACGGCCCAAACCCCGCGCCTCCGCCGCCGGTTTTGAACACGCGCCAGTGCTGCTTCGGATCAGACCGTCGTTAGCTATGGCGGATTCGCACCAACAAGACTGTGTTCAACCATCGCGACCTAGAATATAGGAATTATTCGTCTTTTCACTAGTATTACAGGCAAAGACCCAAAAGACAATAAGACCCAAAAGGGTTAAATAACTATTTTTGTTTTCTCCAACAATAAGACCTAAAAGATAACTATTTCTACAAATGGGTCTCCAGGAGAGAGAATATTCAGATTTGGGTTATTGCCTCTCCTAGACCCAAAATGAGTCTTTCATATAGATACTCTGTTGAAGACTATATGTATTATGTTGGAAACCTATTTTAGGTTTGGGTTCCACGATGGGACAGACTAAGACCGCGTTAAAATTTGGTATAGTCCTAACTTGTTTTAGATTATTCTCTCTCACATAATACTATTCAATCATCAAAACCAGCCAAAACTACTGTTCAACGGACCATCCGAGCGAGCTTTAATTCATCATTTCTATCCGATCCATATCCCGGCATATCGTCGCTAGGTGTAGCCTGTAGGTAGGTAGATCGCCTCACGTCAGAATCAGATGTCCTGAATGAATGAATGCCACACCCCGGTAGCCCGGCCGGCACCCGGGTCCCAAAATCCGAACAAAAGCGGCAGAGGCGGGGCCGCCGCCTTTCGTTTGTGGAATCGTGCACGTTGCCGTCACCCAAAGACGAGACACGCGGCGGCGCCCATGGCGTTGGGCCATGGCACACACACACACAGGCACAGCACAGCAGAAAAGGAGACGGACGCCACACAACGGCGCACACACGCACTCACTGCCAACGGCCAAGCCAAGTACGCTCCTTCTTCCCTCCCCGCCTACCTCACCCAAAAAGGCAAAGCGGCATGATCCCCGACCGAACACGGATCACCAATCCAATATCCATCCCATCCATCACCATTTTATAACCAAAAGAGGGGGTGACAGCAATGAGTACTAGCCCAATCAGTGGCTGGTCACCTGTGACGTCGTCGCCTCCCCGGGGCCGGGCAGCAGCTGCGGCCGCTTTTGTGCTGCTCCGGCCCGACTGGGTAGGGTAGCTGCACAGCACAGATTCCATTTCCACAAGCACCACACACCGAAAAGGAGGGAGGAGTTACCAGCTAGCTTACACAACCGAGCACTCAAACAGAGATATCGCCTCTCCCGACCCGGCAGGCCGGCACCTAGTTCAACCGGTTTGGACTTTGGAGAGATCGACTTGACGAAATAAATAGCCAAACAAATGCGTCATCAGCAGTGGAACTGTGGAAGAAGGAGAGCTCCGATCCGATCCGCTTCAGGAGATGGATGAGTAGCGCTACGAGCCTTCTTCTTCTGACGGCGCGCTGCCGCCGCCGCCTCTCCCGTAGCCGAGCTCCGAGATCTCCCAGCTCGTTGCTGGGGCTACCTCCTGGTGCAACCGGGTGTATTGCTGAAGAACACAAGCAAGCCACAACAGCGTAAACAAAAGCGTATATATATGGTCACTCAAGATGGACTTCGGGTTGCACTGCTAGTTTGCCACCTCCATCTTCGTCAGCAGTTCGCTTGCGGTCGGCGCAGAAACGAATATTTGGCTGCAGTCAGGGTTGATGAAGCCCTCGGCGGCGCCTTTCTCGAACAGGGCAAGCAGCTGGTCGTAGTAGCCGTCGACGTTCAGCAACCCAACCTGAGAGAAGAGGCCGCCGGCCTTAGTTTGTCTGACTGACAAGAACGCATTGCTGATCCGTGTAGTGATCTGCCTGTCAGTGAGTTCACTTACTGGTTTGTCATGAATTCCAAGCTGGCACCAGGTGATCATCTCCAGCAACTCCTCCATCGTCCCGTACCCCCCTGGCAGAAATTAAGAAAACTGTATGTAAGCAATGCAAGTTCCACTGAATTATTATCAGCGTGGTCGACGATGGTAGCATCTGGCACCTGGAAGAGCGATGAACGCTTCGGATTGGCGAGCCATCTCGGCTTTCCTCTGATGCATGTCGTCGACGACCTTCACTTCTCCCACGCTCTCGCCTGATATCTGCCACAAGCGAGACGTCAGACGTGTGCAAATGTCACTGCAAATCTCCATTCTCCAAGCGTACATGCATACTAGCTGTGAGACAATGATTTCTGAATGACAGGGGACACACCGTTCAGGTTCACATCAGATAAAATCCGCTTGACACTTGAAAGACTTTTGTTTTCCCCAAACGGACAGCAACAAGAGATTTTCCGCGATTAACGATGGAAAAGGAAAAAGAGATGAAAACAACACCACCAGCCGGCTCGACTAAGAAAGCATTCTCTAGCACAGGAGTACAGGAGCCTAGTTATACTTATACAAAGGAAAAGGACTAGAAAAGCATCCTCTACTTGACAGAGTCTACTAGGCACGTGTAGTACTGAATTCAGACGGCAGCTGAGTCTAGACTCCAAATTGTCACACCCAAGTCTATCTATGTATATAACTAGATAGGAGGAACCTTCTGCTAGTAGAAATAATACTAGTCCTAGCTTGGCCAATTCTTTCATCAATAGTAGAAAGGACAACTGGAAATGGAGAAGAAATACGTAAAAGGGAAACGGAACGACTTAGACAGACAAGAAGCTCAGCAGTCATTCATTGAATCCTATCGTGGTTGTAGGTGAAGCTGAATTATGCATGAATGGGACATGCTTAAATTTGACCCAACGAGAATCATTGCATGCTGATACTACCCTAGCAGCCTAGCTAAACTGTAACTAGCAAAACGCTGGGCTAGGCGAACAGCACTTCCCTACTACTACCGCACCATGAACAGATCTTGGAGTGAAGAAAATCCACATACCTCAACAGGCATGAGCGCTTTGGGAATCACCCTGTGAATGAATGAACAAATCAAAAGCAAACAGGAAAACCAGCTCCAAAACATCAGATAGAGTGTATTCAAAAAGGGTGCAGGTGACGCGCGCAAAAAAAACAAAAAGGTGAAGCTGCAAGCGCGGCAGGTACCCAAGGACATGGCAGCCGCCATCACGAACCGTCCGAGCAATCACGCCCATCAGGCCGATGCTGCCGCCGCCGTAGACCAGGTTGATGCCCCTCCGCACCTGCACGTTGGTACGTTGCGGTTACAGCATGGGAAAAGGCGCGGACACGACGGCGGTCAGCTACCAAGCAAGAACTCAAAACATCCAAGAGAAGGACGCTGGTGGCAGTGCTCTAGCGCATGGCCGGCGCGGTGAGCTCCCTGGCTCCTTCTGCCTGGACGTGCACACTCACCAGTTCGTACCCGAGCTCGAGGGCGGCGTCGGCGTACACCTTGCGGCGGCCTGCGTTGCTGCCACAGAAGACGCAGATCGTACGGAACCTGCTCGGCACCGCCGGCGCCCCGTCGCCCATGCCGATCGACGGCCACGCGCGCGGCTGCCTAGCCTAGCGCCGGCCCCCGCCTCTCCTGGCGCTGCCTAGCCGGCGAGGAGCGGGAGCTCGGATGAGGTAGCCTGATGGTGGCCGCTCCTCTCGGTGGTGCCGTGTTTGGCTGCGCGTGCGTGCGTTATCTCCAGCAGCGCGTCTCGGCAGAGCTCCCAAGTGATGACGGCATTAAGCAAGGCGAGTGGTGTAATCGATCGCCCTCCCCTTTTAATTCCGGTGGGTCAAACACCTCCCAACCGCACCGCGCCTCGTCCCCCGCCGCTGTCATTTTCGCGGGCGGTCCGGTGAGCAGTCACCACCCCGCCCAGGGGGGCCTCCCGTAACTCTGCGTTGTCTGTCCCCCTCACCGTGTCGCCGGGAATCTTTTTGCACCGCCCAGTCCGCTTCCACTCTCCACTGTGCCTGCCTGCCGGCGACGGCATGCATGGCGCCGGCACTGTTCCCCGCGTCTGGACCATCCGTTCGTGTCTCTGTCTCCCCGGGCTGCCCAGGCGCCGCCGACCCATCCCGGCCGTCCAAACCCCGCCCTCTCCGGCTGCGCCGCATGGAGCCATTCGGAGCCGTGCCAAACCAGACCAGACCTTTTCCACCAAGGGTTGCCATCAGGGGCGCCACCACCACCGGTAACTGTAAACACGAGCAGCTTCAGAGTTGTTTCAGGGCGCGGTGATAACGTTGTCCGGTTACGGCGAAAGGCGTAGCTCTCGGCACGTCCCTGTCCGCCGCCTGTGCACTGGTCAGGACTGGTACAGCACTAGGCCGCAGCGGCGCAGCGAAATCCCATCGCCCATCGGCCGCAGATTTTCTCCCCTTATTCTATCACTCCATCGATCGCAAGTTCGCTACTGGCATATAGGCCTTGTTGCCCAAACTTTGCACATCCAAAAAGCACCGCACACTGTAGAGATACTGTAGCATTCGTTTGTATTTAATAATAATTGTCCAACCGTTGACTAATTATGCTTAAAATGTTCGTCTCGCAAAGTAGAACCAAATTGTGTAATTATTTATTTTTTTACGTACATTTAATACTTCATACATGTGTCAAAGATATGATATGATATGATGTGATGGAGAATCTTGCACTGTGCAAATTTTGGAGGTGCAAATTGGTGGAACTAAATAAGGACATAAATTACTTTTTATTGCAACAAAAAAAAAGGCCAAGACTTTGACGAGCAATGTGGTCAGGGCTAACGTAGACCGGGCGTTAGTCAAATAAATGGCGAGCGATTAAACAAGTCGAAGGAGATTCGCCATTACAGGGTACCCTACCGACCCAAAGGTGCTGTCGCAAATGTCTGCCGGGCCGATTCTGATGAGGCCATCATATATCCGACGGCCAATCAGAATGGGCGGAGCAATTGTTTGAGCGACGGGACGATCGCCCGAGACATGTCATGGGATCCTCAGCGAAGAGGACACACGGTTTCGCGCCAGAAACAGACAAGATGAGCCTCCAGAATTATATTCAGGCTTTTGGTGACCCAAAATAAGATACTATCAACATCCACCACGACTCTTAAATAGAACGCAAGATAATTGCCCTTTGCATGCTAATAAGTACTTACATAATTTATCGGTACAGACTAGAGACAAGGAAATTAGGAACTGGACATCGATTGGATGTGTACAACTCACACTAAACTAGGATGCTGATAGCTGCAACAAATATATAAGGATTTGTCATTTGTTTGTCCATCGATCGATCAATCGTCATTCTCCTTGTCCAAGCTTCTCGTCATGCTCCGGCCGGCTTTCAGGGACATGCTGTTGAGTCTCTTCGAGGTGACTGAAATCTCCGAGCCAGCGTTGCTCTGGGTGTCGATTGAAGACAGGGCCACCCTTGACATGTCCCCGGACCGCTGTCGCTGGAACGACGACCCTCGGTGGCTGCTGCTGCAGCCATTCAGCCTTGCTTTTGCAGACTTGGTCAAGCTCATGTAGTTTGGTCCTCCGGCGTTGCCACTGTCTGACCTTGCTTCTGATGCTAAGATAGTGTTGGCAGCGGACGTCAGGGTCACCGATGATCTCGACGGAGAGCTCTCGTCGCACACGGAGTCAGAAGAAGCAGCTGACAGCACCGTAGGAGGAGGCTTTGCTGCTGCTACCCTGGTCGTGACGTTGTTTCTTCTGATTTTGACTGAGCTGGCATCAGAAAGCTTGGAGGCAGGCAAGTTCAGCTCCTCACAGTTCTTCGCGAGCTGCGAGTCTGTATGGTTTCCCTCGATAATTCTGGTCTCCCATGGCTTTGTTGCCATCCATCCTTCCAAGTAACTCAAGTCGTGATTGCACCTATTAGGCTCATGGCTTCTAACACAGTTAGCAGGAGAACTTGGTCTTCCCTTGTGTTTTGTACCCCGAGGCTGAAAGGAACATATGATCGACATGTTATCAAAATGAAACTATGGATGTGGTATTACCTAGTGTTACTACAGCAAGGCAAAGATGTGCTACAACATGTACCTGGTGAGACAGAGCATAGGCAATAGCCCTTTCTCTCTTTGCTGCACCTTCATGCTTCATGTGTATCTTTGATCTTACTTCATCAACAGATCCGTGACGGTCACACCATTGTTCCTGAAATGTTAAGCAGCCAAGAAATCTTTGCACCGTCACATTACTATTCTAGTGAAAGCGGCCAAGCAGGTATCAATAGAAACAGCAAACTGTAGTGTGAACTCATTCTATTTTATTTCTATTCAACTGTAGTCTGAACATGAAAGTTGGGTTGGCAATACCTAATTGTAAAAGACATTATTGGTGTTATCACCATAGGCTTTTCTTACCTAACAGCGTCACTACAATATTGATTCAAACACACATTGTCAATGTGAAAGAGCGAGAAACAATCTTAATGGACTCAATCATTAAAAAAGGACGTACCCAGTGCAGAGAGCTCCCGCTCTTTGCGGGGTCTGGGGAAAGGTGTAAGTGGCTAGCCTTACCCTCGCCTGTGTAATGCGAGGAGACCGCGACTCGAACCAGGACCTTTCGGTCACAGGCGGTAAACTCTACCGCTTGCACCAGGCTCACCCTTCAATGGACTCAATCATTACAAAAAATAAAGGAAGCTTAGTTGTCCATGTCATTCTTACTGATACAAGTCCCTTTCAAATAAAAGTAACCCACCATATCAACTCTCACGTCAGTTTCCCATAAGGAATTCAGTGTAAGAACAAACACATGGAAATTTTAAATAGTCAAAATATCAACCGGAGCACAATGGGAATTCAAAATTCAAACTTTTACCAGTTTCTGACTTCCTAATGATCTCAGAACTCTACGGTTCTAAAAAAATGCAAAGGGTGCGAATATTAGCTCTGAAACACACCAAATTGAAATTAAAGTTAGAGGGAAGTTTTAACATAATCACCTACCTTTTATTTTGAACAAATTCGTAATAAGATCTCAGTGGAAGGCAACCAAGGAACCGAACCACATGGTCCATGTAACACCATTAGTTATACTAAGGAACCAGAGACCTTATGACATTCCAACAACACTGTCAACCGAAATCCATCATCAGAAATTTGGTTGTTCCCTCAAATTTTCCTGAATGGCAGATGACGTTTAGCTGTCTACTCGGTAAGGGCGAAGTTCCATAGGCGACTTAGCAGCTAATCAACAACCATTTTGGGTGTAACATTGCAATTTGCTCCCCCAATAGTAGTAACATTGCACATTCTGAAAGCAGAAAAACACGTGATGTTATGTGCGTTCCATATATACCATAGCGTCTTTGGTAGAACTGGCACGGCCGTTGAGCGCGTCCTGGCCCCGGGAGCCGTGGCCGTCAGCGGAGGAGCGCGCCCTGCGCTCCCGAGCGCGTTCCTGCACCCGCAGCAGCGCGTGCATGCACTTGAGCGTGACGGCCAGTTGCTTGCGCACGAGCCGGCCGCGCACCAGCGCCTGCAGCCGGACGATGCCCCTCAGCGCCTTCAACGCCCGTCTCGCCTGCTCACGCGCGCCGCCACATAATAGCACAGAGACGCATAAAGAGTCAAGATCACAGCACACGGAAGCAGCAGTGACACGGTACCAAACGGAAACGGAGAAGGAATTCGGGCGATACCAAGAACGCGCGGAATGCGGTCTGGATGCGGACGGCGGCCCATTCCTGCCTGATGAGCAGGAAATCCCTGGGCGGCGCGCGGACCACGGCGGCGAGGACGCAGCTGAACGAGTCGGCCGACGCCGAAGAAGCCTCGGACGCCAGCGCGCTGCCCTCGCCGGCGCTGGCCCTGGACGCGGCGGACGAGCTCCGCCACAGACGCCACTTGCGGCCGCCCTTGTGCCCCGCCGCCTTCTCGGGAGCCTTCAGGGCCACCAGCGACTTGATCCACTTCCCCGACGCCCCCATCGGCGCCGCGCAATGCGAGACGCGACTGCTTACTCCCTCTGCTCGACCGAAGCTTCCGCTTGGTTGTGTGGGGGCACTCGGCACTTGGGATGTGGAGGAGGAGAAGCCGAGGCGAGGCGAGACGGGACGCGACAAAATGGAAGGAGAAGCAGCCAGTGAAGTAGTGGGGGTGGTGGAGGAGGTAGCCGTTGTCCTTTTCGGCCACGACGGTGGAGAGGGGCAAACAAACCGTTCGTCGATCGTGTAGCGGGGATTCAAATTTGAACGGCGGCGAGCAGCAACGGATCCGCGGCGCTCCCAACTGACGTGCGGTTCGAGGAGCTCTAGGCCCACATGTCATTCGGCCAGACGAACGGTTGGAGAGTTGTGGTTGTGGGCGAGGAGAACGGCGACCTTGGCGGCTCACGGGCTCGCTGGTTGGCTTTCCGCGCGTTGGGCTTCGAGAAAGGAGAGGGCTTTCTAGGGATATGGGCCCAAGATGCCTGACTGCCGTGTACAGGTCCACAAGAAAATGGGCCCGTGCGTGAGGGAGTTGAGTAATCCTGGCCTGCCATGGTTTGGTGAGTTCTCTCGTGTGCTGGTCCCGACGACGGGGCTGACACGA